CCTAGATAATTCAAATTAATTAAAATAAAAATTTCTGATCAAATTGAGCACAATTAGGAAAAATGGGAAAATANATAATCAACTTCCATAAAGATCTTGTGCATACAATAAGTTGGGCTGATACCTTTAAGATCTGAGATTGACCACCCAATCACTTCTTTGTTAGCTTTCAGAATTTCTATCAATTGTTCTTCTTCTTGTGGAGACAAAGAGTTACTGATGATGACTAGCTTTGCTCCATCTTCTTCTAGAAAAACATACTTCAGATGTGATGGTAGTATTTTTAATTCTAACTTCTTTGGTTTGACTTCTTCTTCCTTATTAATTATCTCAAACTTTGTATCCTCCACTAGAATCTTCTTCAATGTTTCCAAGTCCATCAGACATTCTTCAATTAATTTCTCTTCTCCTTCATCTATATCTTCACAGGTATCAATAAGAGTTTTTTAAAGGAGAAACATAACGCATCATCCTTTCTTGCACCATACAAACTTCATCAAGTTCGTCAAATTGAAAACATGCCTTATCATCATTTGGATATGTCATGGCTTTGAATACGTCAAAGTTTACTTCTTCATCATGAACTCTCACTTTAAGCTTACCATTTGTATGATTGCACTACAGTTCCCCTGTACTTTGATAGTTTCCTTCTCAATGTACTTGTTTTCCTTTGTAAGGAGTTCCTTCAAAAATTTTGCATATGATGGCATCTATTGCAATGCTTCAGAGAATGGTATAGTAATCTCCAGCTTCTTAAACAACTGCATGAATCTTTCCAACTATTTTTCTTTCTCCTTCCTTGAATAGATCTTTGGATAAGGAAGTGGTTTTTCAAACTCTTTTTCTTTTTGTCTCTCATCTCTCTCTTTTATCTTTTTTTTCTCTTTCTTTTCATCTTTTTCTTCTTTCTTTTTCTCTCTCAACTCTTTCTTTCCACTCACATGTTTCTTTTTCACTCTTATTTTCTTTCTCCTCTCTTTATATTTTTCTCTCCTCTAACACCTTACCACTTCTAGTCACAATAGTCTTACACTCCTTTTTTAGATTACATTTTTCATCTTGTCAACTATTTGCTCGCTATGGATCTTCATATTTTTAATGGCAACTTCCACATTCTTACAATAAGATGCATTCGTCTTCAAGACTTGTTGGAAAGTCTCGTCAAGTTTTGTTGTCTTCCCATATGGAGTAGGTTGTGTTTGCCATTTTTGCTGCTGCCATTGAAGCATTTTGTATTTCTTGTGGTAATTGAGAAAGTTTCATAATTACTTCTTCCAACTACTGAGAAATAATCTTATTTTGAATAAGCAGGGCATCATTTGATTGTAGCAACTCCTTCTGACTAGGAGCTCCACTTTCACTATTCAACTCATTATCGTTAGTAGCTGATAACAGTTGAAAAACTGTTATTTTCATGCTTAAAATTGATACTAAAAGCAACCTTTAACACTTAGAAACTAGCTTGAAATCATGCTTTTGGTCATATTTTTAGAAATAAGAGAGCTGGACAGGTTTATGCTTGGTTTTAGTGTTTTATACAGGTTTTAAAGTGAATTTGGTGAAAGAAGTGAAGAAGGATAGAGATGGAATCAGAAACAACATCAAAAAGTGCAAAAGAAGAGAAGCCGTAAGTACCGCTGAGCGACACTCAGGAACACACGTTGGATCCGCCGAGGGGTGAAAATGCCGCTGAGGGGAAGCATCAACTCACGCACTTACCGTTGAGCGGTAGTTTGTCGCTGAGCGGCACTATTTTGGGCTTGGGCCTAATTTTCTGAATTTTTAGAATAGTATATAAGCTTTAGGTCGTTTTAGGGTTGGTATTTTTGGCAAAATACGAAACAAACACTCACTTTTCCACCCCTTGGAGGAAGATTTTGGATGCTAAGGCTACCTACTCATCTTTCTAGGGTTCTATCTTTCATTCTTTCATTATTTTTCATCTAGCTTCATGTTGAGAGGGTCGCACCTCACACAAAAGTTGATTGCAAAATTAATGCAGTATAAACTAGGAAGTGACTCCTAGGTCGTCTCTCAAGGACCAAATATGGTTCGAGTCTTAGGTCAAACACGTAGTGGGGGGTTTTGAGTTTGTGAATGCAAATGAACTTAAATATGACACGAATGCAAATAGTAATGTAAAACGGTTTCAGATGCAAAATTAAATTGATTGGTCACTACTGACATTATAACTAAAATATCACAACCAAGACAACACTAAAATGAAAAGTGATTTAATCGAATTAAAATGCAACGCTAAAAAAAATGAAAAGTTGAAAGACACATCCATCACATATAATATAAAAATAGCAATGAAAATAAAACCTATTGGATTTTATCTCTTCTGTAGGAAACCATGTGCACATTCCAATAAAAAAAAACTAAAATTCCATCACCAACTTAAATGAGCATAATCCACCGAGTGCACCAACTCCTTGCTTCACCTTTTCTCCCTCATTAAAAAAAAACACCCTATTCTCTAATTTCAGCTTTGTAGGTGGGGACATGCAGCTACTTCTTCTAAAGGAGATGAAATAAAAAAATTGCCAGCACCACTCAAAATCCATCCCACGTGTTCACTCCAACACCATCCATCGTTCTTCCTAATCCCACTCTCGGCCGTACACACCACACTACCAATGCGCTTCTCATTAAAAGAAAGAAAATAAATATGCTTCTACGCAAAATTAAAGCCACACTTCATTCAATGTAATCAGTGTTTTAAAAATAAATTCACCATGTGCGCAAGCAAAATAAAATAATCGTGAGTATCATGAATCAGAGCTTCTAAGAAACTTAAACAAATTGTGCTTCTCAATTTCGGACATGGCAACTGCTGAACGAAGCCTTGCTGCTGTATGCAGCCCTCATCGTGCCTTTCTCCATGAAGTGAATGAATCCTCCCCCCTACTTCCCGTGGTGGTTGCTTCAAGCGTGATGAATCCTCTAGCCGTAACCCTCCATTTTGTTGTCCGCTACTTCCTAAAGTGAAAGACGATCCCTCCAACCGAGAGTTGCTCTTCCTTCCAATGTGCGTGCCTCCTCTTAGCAACTGGACACCTCCAAATATATCAGGGTGAATGTTATTGTCCACGTCTCTCCTGCTGGACCGCTTCTCTCCTGGACGTGTGTTGGACGTTGTTGGGCCGCGTGGAATTCCTTTCCTCTGCTGCTGGGCTTACTTCCTTCTCATCCTCCACGGGTCTCTAAGCTGCTGGACCGTGGAAGCTGTCAAGGTCCGTGTGTTTTCCATCCGCGCCACCTCTTCTTCTAATGTGGAGAACACTGCTGGACAGACGTGCAACTGTGGCAGCACCACTTGGACCAGGCCCTCTTCCAATTGAAGCATATTTTTACGTTGTGGGCCGTGACCGTGAAAGTGGAGCTGCTTTTTCTTTGCTTCCCGTAACATTGCTTTCTCAAAATGAAATAGGCATTTCCAATTCTAAATGCCAAATTAAATGAATTTTTCTTCACCTAAAATCAATGACCACATCCCTATGCTTGGACGTGACAACAGTAGCTCACCAAATGGAATGTGCTTTTCAAAATGAATAAAAATTACATTTCCTCCTTCTTTTCTCATTCCAGCACCGCTTTTGTTCAAGCACAAAATGGGTCCAGCAATGCTTTTCTTCTTTTCGTAACCCCTTCACTTGCTGGACCTCAAAATCCCCCTCATTCGTGATAACATGCTACCTCAATTTTGTTTTAAGCCAAAAACCATTCAACTTAGGTGGGCCGTAAAATAAGCATGCTACTGTGTGAACCTCCAAAAGAAATTAATCCTTCAATTTTATCCAATAATTTCCCTACAATTAATAATGCAAATAATTAGTCCTAGATAATTCAAATTAATTAAAATAAAAATTTCTGATCAAATTGAGCACAATTAGGAAAAATGGGAAAATACTAGACATTTAAGTACAATTCCCTGATTAATTCTAGCACAATAAACTAAGTGAAGTGAAGAAAATATTGACTCATCACTTCACCGTGAATATGGTGAAGAAAACTTTGTATTGTTGTTGGGGAATCAATGTAATCTTTTGAAGCTCTCATATATGGAATTTTGTATTTAAACATCATATTTACGATACATGCTTTCTTGCATCATTAGTTAGGGTTTTTCCTCTTTGCTCAAAGCATGCATTGTTTATCTCATTTGATATCATGATTTTTGATTTTGTCGATATGGGAACGTATGCGGAAATCTAGATCCGAGGAAAATCTCCCAATAGCATATTGCCTAGGCATAGGAATATAAGGTTTGTGTTTGTGTTCTTATTTTCCATTGTTCAAAACTCATGCACACATGTTTAATTATTGTCTTTTGCATTTGAAACCTCAAGAATTTATTCATAAGTCTTAAATAATCAACAAATCATATAACTAACTAGGCCGTGAGTCCTTTGGGAGAACGATACTTGGTCTTACCGAGTTTATTACTTGATACGATTCGGTCACACTTGCCGAGAGTTAAACAAGTTATTGGTGCCGTTTTTCGGTGTTCATAAATTTGTCATCAAGTTTTTGGCGCCGTTGCTAGGGACTCGTGGTTTAACTAGTTTATTTGTGTGATTATTGATTATCTTTGACTTGAATTTTGAATTTTGAAATTTGAATTTCTGTTTTTATTTTCTGTTTTTATTTTATTTTATTTTTTTCGGTTATTATTTTATTTTATTTTATTTCTCTGTTTGTATTTTTTCTGTTTTTATTTTTTCTGTTTTTATTTTCTGTTTTTATTCTATCTTCTTATCTCTTATTTTATATCTTCTTCTCTATCTTTTTTTGCTAACAATTTTTTCTAGGGACTTGTTTTCTTGTGTATGCAGGAAGCAATTCGAACTAGAAGCAAGAAAACATCATAACCTCTTTTTGAAGGCTTAGACGAGAGTATACGGAGGAGAAGAATCCGTACATCTACAGAACTTTTCCCTCCTCCGGAAGATCTCTTACAACCATCACCACAAGGTTCTTACCATAGCACTAAGGAGATGGAGAATATTAATGTCAGACGAACTCTTGCGTATTACACAAATGTAGTTGGCCCTCAGCATTTCAATAGCATAGCAAGACCGAGGGTCAATGCAGCTAATATAGAGGTGAAGTCAGCAGTAATCCAACTGGTTAAGAGTAACCAATTCAATGGGTTGTCTCACGAAAGCCCATATGAGCACCTGACAACTTTTAGTGAGATTTGCAATACAGTAAAGATCAATGGGGTGCCTGACGAAGCAATCAAACTTAGCTTATTTCCATTCTCATTAGGAGGCAATGTTAAGCTTTGGTTGAACTCTTTTCCAGAAGGGAGCTTTACAGAGTGGGAAGCTGTGGTGACAAAGTTCTTGAACAAATATTTCCCACCATCCAAAGTAAATAAAGGAAAGCAAGAGATATCATCTTTCAAGAAAGGCATGGAGGAATCGTTAGGTCATGCATGGATAGATACAAAAGCTTATTAAGGAAGACTCCCACGCATGGATTTGACGAAGTAGAAGTAGTCCTAATCTTCCTTGGAGGTCTTGGTTCACAAACCAAGATGATTCTTAACGCCTCAGTTGGAGGAAATATCAAATGGAAGACTCCAGAGGAAGCCTCGAAAATAATTGAAAATATGGCTACTAATGATAATGAGATGAAGAGTGAAAGAGGAGCTCCTATTCAACAAAAAGAAGTTCTACAGTTGCAATCCAATGATGCCTTGCTAGCTCAGAACAAGATACTAACTCAACCATTGGAGAATATCACAAAGATACTTGCACAACTGCCAAAAGAGTTAAAGACTATTGAACAGGTTCAACCAAAGTTGTGTGAATTATGTGGGGGTGACCATATCAATGGTCAATGCGCCTTTGCAGCAGAAGCTTTAGAGGATGTTAACTTCATGACCAATCAATTTCCATACCGTCAGGGGAATTTCAATAAAGGGTGGAAACCACACCCAAGCACTGGTCAAGGACAAAGTGGGCAAGCTGGACAAGCAGGACAATTTAACAAGCAACAACAACAACCAACCTGTCAACACCAAATTTCGTCCGGATGACTAAATAATATAGGTCTTTCTTTTTTATTGTATCTTATTTTATTTTATGTTTTTTTTTATATAATTTTAATTATGTTTTTATTTTTATTTTTTTATTTTTTTATTTTTTATTTTTTTTATTTTGTTTTTTTTATTATTTGATTTGATTTTCTATATTATTAACTTAAAAAAAAAAGAGAGAGAAAAACGTTCCTCCCTCAGGCACACTGACATACGCTCCCTGGATTTCCACCCCTCTACTACTCTGACCCGTAACCACCTCTCTTCAGAAATCCTCCCCTGAATCAGGTACACTTTTCACGCATGAAGGCACTCTGCAGGGGACAGGGGACATAACAAAAAGGATCCTCCATCGGGTACAGGCACGATCCCACGACTCACTCAACAGAATCATCCACTCTGAAATCAATTCTTGGCTTGGGCACATAAAAGGGGTCCATCATTCCACCTCTGACGAGGCTTCATTTCCTCCAGCACGCACGTCATAGAATCCCATTCTCCCACCCAACTTCCACTTCATCTTCCAACTATCAAAATCCCAAACACAGAGACAGAAAAAACATTCACCTGAAAAATAGAGAACAAGTAATCCCTAAGCTTCATCACCTCCATTGCTAGCACCAAAATACAAAGCACAGAAACAGAGAGAAGAGAAACACAGGAAGAATGAAAGGTTAGACCGCCACGAACGGCGGCAATGTTTCCGGCGCAGGAGACACCACCGACGGTGACTTTTGGCCGGCCAAGGAGATGTGCGGCAGCGCTAGTCTGGAGCCATGGAGTTCTCGTGAACGAGGAAGAAGCCCCTAAGCCTCTCCTTTGGTTCTACGCGGAAGGAAAAAAACCCTAAGCGCTTTCTGATTTGGGAATAGAAAATGGGCCTTCGGCACTAACATTCACCAACATTACCCTACAAATTCATTGCTGCACCCTTATCCTCGTGGGCTTGGACCACACACCCCTGGTTTTTCTTTTACTTAGCTTTTTTGTTTTGATTATTATTTGAATTTAATTTTATGCTGTTGTGATTTTGATTATTAGTTTTTCTTGTTACTGCTGCATGGGACCTTTTGTAAGACAACCCCAATCCCTTTGTGTTGTGCTTTAGTTTTATTAGGCTTGTTTGTTTGTTGTATTCTACCGCACCCATACTTGCTTTTCTAATGAAAATATCCAATAAGAATCATATAAAAAGGATAAAATTATAAAATAAAAAAAATCGTTTTAGGATATATGTAACATCTTCGTTGCAAATAAATAAATGAAATTTTGATTTTGTTAGCCTTTTATTATATAGATTATAAAATAAAATATAGCTTTAGTGTTTCTTAATTATTTAGTACCCTTTTAGTAACTAGAATAAAATTTAATTGGTTTCAATTTTAGGTCTCTTTAAACGTATTCACGTCAGTAGCAATAGCACTTTTATTTTATATTTTATAATTTTATCTTAAATACTTATGTAAATAACATTGTATTTTTGTAAATAGTTAGGTAAATAATATCATTGTGGCATTTCAAATACTTACGAAATATTCTTCTTATTTTATATTAAACCTTACGAAAAAAATTGTTACTGTTTTCACAATTTTATTATAAACAGTTATGAAAATATTATTTTAATATTATAAAATTGTAAAATAAAAATAAAAATATTAAGTAAAAAATCTAAAAATTAAATAATGATATGAGTACTCGTGCGATCGTTCGCATTAGCCTAGTACTTAATATCCTCAATCTTAAAAAATATATTTTAAGGGTTAGGCACGTGTGTGATCGCTCGCATCGTCCTCGTGCTAAAAACCTTTTCCCTTTCTTTTATAAAAAATACAAAAAAATATATTTTAAGCTTAGGCACGTGTGTGATCGCTCGCATCGTCCTCGTGCTAAAAACCTTTTCCCTTTCTTTTATAAAAAAATACAAAAAAATATATTTTAAGGCTTAGGCACGTGTGTGATCGCTCGCATCGTCCTCGTGCTAAAAACCTTTTCCCTTTCTTTTATAAAAAAATACAAAAAAATATATTTTAAGGGTTAGGCACGTGTGTGATCGCTCGCATCGTCCTCGTGCTAAAAACCTTTTCCCTTTCTTTTATAAAAAAATACAAAAAAATATATTTTAAGGGTTAGGCACGTGTGTGATCGCTCGCATCGTCCTCGTGCTAAAAACCTTTTCCCTTTCTTTTATAAAAAAATACAAAAAAATATATTTTAAGGGTTAGGCACGTGTGTGATCGCTCGCATCGTCCTCGTGCTAAAAACCTTTTCCCTTTCTTTTATAAAAAAATACAAAAAAATATATTTTAAGGGTTAGGCACGTGTGTGATCGCTCGCATCGTCCTCGTGCTAAAAACCTTTTCCCTTTCTTTTATAAAAAAATACAAAAAAATATATTTTAAGGGTTAGGCACGTGTGTGATCGCTCGCATCGTCCTCGTGCTAAAAACCTTTTCCCTTTCTTTTATAAAAAAATACAAAAAAATATATTTTAAGGGTTAGGCACGTGTGTGATCGCTCGCATCGTCCTCGTGCTAAAAACCTTTTCCCTTTCTTTTATAAAAAAATACAAAAAAATATATTTTAAGGCTTAGGCACGTGTGTGATCGCTCGCATCGTCCTCGTGCTAAAAACCTTTTCCCTTTCTTTTATAAAAAAATACAAAAAAATATATTTTAAGGGTTAGGCACGTGTGTGATCGCTCGCATCGTCCTCGTGCTAAAAACCTTTTCCCTTTCTTTTATAAAAAAATACAAAAAAATATATTTTAAGGGTTAGGCACGTGTGTGATCGCTCGCATCGTCCTCGTGCTAAAAACCTTTTCCCTTTCTTTTATAAAAAAATACAAAAAAATATATTTTAAGGGTTAGGCACGTGTGTGATCGCTCGCATCGTCCTCGTGCTAAAAACCTTTTCCCTTTCTTTTATAAAAAAATACAAAAAAATATATTTTAAGGGTTAGGCACGTGTGTGATCGCTCGCATCGTCCTCGTGCTAAAAACCTTTTCCCTTTCTTTTATAAAAAAATACAAAAAAATATATTTTAAGGGTTAGGCACGTGTGTGATCGCTCGCATCGTCCTCGTGCTAAAAACCTTTTCCCTTTCTTTTATAAAAAAATACAAAAAAATATATTTTAAGGGTTAGGCACGTGTGTGATCGCTCGCATCGTCCTCGTGCTAAAAACCTTTTCCCTTTCTTTTATAAAAAAATACAAAAAAATATATTTTAAGGGTTAGGCACGTGTGTGATCGCTCGCATCGTCCTCGTGCTAAAAACCTTTTCCCTTTCTTTTATAAAAAAATACAAAAAAATATATTTTAAGGGTTAGGCACGTGTGTGATCGCTCGCATCGTCCTCGTGCTAAAAACCTTTTCCCTTTCTTTTATAAAAAATACAAAAAAATATATTTTAAGGGTTAGGCACGTGTGTGATCGCTCGCATCGTCCTCGTGCTAAAAACCTTTTCCCTTTCTTTTATAAAAAATACAAAAAAATATATTTTAAGGGTTAGGCACGTGTGTGATCGCTCGCATCGTCCTCGTGCTAAAAATCTTTTCCCTTTCTTTTATAAAATTACAAAAAATATGTTTTGAAGGTTAAGCACACGTGTGACCGCTTGCGTCGTCCTTGTGCTAAAAACCTTTTCTTCTTTCTTAAATAAAATTACAAAAATATTTTAAAGGTTGAGCACACGTGTGATCGCACGCATCGTCCTTGTGCTAAATACCTTTTCCGTTTATTTTATAAAAATATAAAAAAATATAAAATCTTCAAAACTAAAAACATCAACAAAATTTTCAAGCAGTTTCCAAAAGAACTACGTAACCCTGATTTCTCATTCTGAATGAGAATACGTAGGAGCAAGGTTAATCCTTGTCGGGCCCAAAAAACTAAAAAATTTATTTTGTTTCTTTAGAGTTTTATTTTTGGGGATAGTTAAACATTTTGAAAACCACATCATATTTGCGTATTTAGTTAAAGGTACTGCCCTAGGGCAGGCGTTGTAGGGTGCTAATACCTTCCCGAACCCATAATCTGGTTCTTGTAGACCATGCCTTATCCTTTTATGGTTTTTCCGTAGTTTTCCATAATAAACTATGGTGGCGACTCCAAAATCTCTTTTCAAAACCCGTTTCTTTTTGGATCGTCATCCCGTCGCGATTCCGGTTGCGACACAACCTTATGGAAACAAATGTCTATACTTAATGAAAGATCAATAAGGCTGGAAGAGACCCTTCAACAATTCATACAGAAAATTGAGTCTACCCTAAAGAGCACTGAAGCTGCTATTAAGAACTTAGAGATGCAAATGGGTCAGATTATTATGCAGTTGGAAGAAAGGCCTGAAAAAGTTTTGGGACTAATACTGAGGTTAACCCCAGCGAAGAATGCAAGGTGTTGGAGAAAGTAAATGTTGAAACA